AAACCTAAGAAAAGTGAAGAGTAAATGAGTTTTTTGGCAAGTTTCATATAAATATATTATTGATTTTGCAAGATTTTATCCAAATATTTAAATCTAGAAATGACGCACTTGTTTCTATTAAATTTGATCCTAAATAAAATGTCTCATTTAACTCATCAGTCACAATATAATATGAATTAGATAATGGTGATTTTTTTAATTTAAAAAAGTAAAACTGTTGTCATTACAACCAGAAAGAATTTAGGTCTGCTATGATTAAATAATCAACCCTTTCATTAAAATACATACACAGTGAATATTAAAAACTTATCATCACAAATAAGAGTAAAATAAAATTAATTCTCTTAATAATATTATGAATAAGATAAATAGCCACAAAGATTATTATCATAACTTTAAAGTTTTAGAATTTAAGTTAGACATCAATTATAATATAATAACTTTTGTTTTCTAACAACATTATTAATATCGTTGAAGGAATGACAATTTTTATATCTAATTAATTAATAAAATATATTCATTATTTTGCCTTAATATCTAGTATTTATTAATACTTTGATTCTTTAGGCTTTCCATATTTTTATTCAAATTCTTTGGATTTTAATTTCTATGCATCTTCTAATTTTTATTATATAAATTATTGAGAAGATTTACTCTATTACATTTTACTCAATAATAGTGTTTCTTATTACTCTAAATAATTCATTAAATTTTCTTAATCCATCATAGATTTAGATAATTGATGTTTAACTTTTTTTTACTCCTCTTCAAATTTCTTAACTCTCTCATCCCAATACACTTAATAATTATATTTAGATTAAAATTCATCTAATTAGACTTTATTTCTGTTTGTTCTTCTTTCTTAATACATCTATTGCTTCTATTCTTCAATTGATTTTTAATGAAGACTACTAATTTTCTTCAAATATTTTGCTTGTTCCTCTCGTTCCTTATCAACTTAAGCTTTGGCTGTTTTAATAGCCTTATTGAGTTAATATCTCTTTATTAAATTATCCTCTTTTTTTCTTTATTCACTTTAAGGATCATAAAGAGACTCCTTTGCTGATTTTAACTTTAATAAATGTTGATATTTATATTACTTCATCTACTATGTCATCATGAAGTTTTTTCTTCTTATACACAATCTCTAATTTTTTATTTGGAGGTTTCAATAATTATTATTATTTAATGAGCATATTGACCCTTCCCATCATTTATTCTATTTATCTCTACTACTCTACATTCTATTACTTTAATGCCAAAATTGTAGGGTCTTAATAATTCATATATAAAAATAAAAATTAATAACTCAACATTTTATAATTGTTTAAGGAATTCAATAATTTTTATCAAAATTATTCAGCAACTTTTTTATAATTCAATTTAAAAACAATATATATATATATCAAATTAAGTTAAATTTCATATTATTCAGTTTTTATATTTTTCAATTATGCTATGATATAATTTATTAAACATAATTGTGAATCAATTAAAAACTATCCATTTTATTAATAAATAGAACTCAATAAGTTTTTTGTTTGATTTATTTATAGATTAAATTAAATGCTAAAGGTAAATTCCAAATCTAGGACAACTCTAGCAAGTACTCCATAATCTACAGCAGAAAGTAATCGATAAAATCTATTAATTTGGGATTAAATGTTTGGAAATTTTAATAATACCCTTAAATCTAGAAATCAAGCATAAAGATTGGCTGCATAAAAATATTAATTGATAAACGATCCAATATGTACATCATCTCCATTGCATAAGCCTAATCCATTTTCATTTAATGAAAAATTAAGATAAGGATTTCGAGAATTTTTATGTGGTGAACGTTCTGCTCTCAACTTAGTTAATGAATGCAATCACTTAAATAGAAAAGAAGCAAAGTTAAAAAATAGGATGAAACTTATTAAAAGAGCAAATATGTTTGCAAATTAGTTGTAAGTTGGAAACAAATACAAGTCTCTACATTAACAAGGACTTACAGATGAAGAAATTGAGAAAAAAGTTAGAGTCTTTTAAAGATTTGAGAAAATAAAGAAACTAATTTAGAAGAATTCATAAACAGAACCAAATGAAGAAAACAATCTAAGAGATGTGTAACTTTTTAGGTAACTTTATGAAGTGAGTGAAGAGAACAAAAATAAAATAAAGCAAAAAAATCTATTAACCGAGAGAGCTGATGGGTAACGTGAATTTAATAATGTAAAATATAAAACTCATGGGTATTTGAGAGTTAAAAAAGTTGAATAATAAAGAGGTAATACAGCAAGTTGCGAAAAGAAATCATTTATTAAATAAAAGGTTCGAGATGCTATTAATGAGTAATTAAGTGGATTTATAAAGGAAAGATAATAAAAGGAAAAAGATATCTATAACAAAGCAAAAAGAAAAATGCTTATGAAAAATAATTAATATCAAGGGTTTTCAAAAGAGAAATATGTTTTGAATGATCCTCTTAGTAAGGATGTTAAATTGTATGCTTACATGTTTATGAAAAACAAAGACAAAGGAGCAAGAACAAATATATCTGAGAGGATGTGTCATACTGCTAGAAATGAGGAGAGACCAAAACATTTCATTAAAAACTTTAATAATGAATTAACATCTCGCAATGTAAGCATGTCTAATGATTCATCTCTTAATTCAATGTTAGAAATCAATATAGACAATATGTATAGAGCAAGCAATTCAATATAAAGTTAAATTCTTTAAAGTGATTCTGAAAAATTCGTCAAGAGAATTAAATAATTTTAAAAAGTCTAATAACTCAATTTTGAAATCATAAAAGTGAACCAACAGAAACTCTCAACTGAACGTAAGTCGATTCTGTTTTGATTATAATATATTTACCAATTTTATATAATAATTATATTTTATTTTTTTTAAAGATTATAAGCTATCTTATATAATAGACTTTATTTATATGAGATCAAAAATTGTATATGAAATTAATTCATAAGTTGTAATAATAAAGATTTGGAACTACAAATTAATAGGAGTAAATGATAAGTTTAAATTGAATAGAATTATCAGAATGAGAAATAACTAAATTAATTTTTAATAATTTTATGAGATGAAGATGAAATTCATTTATTTATTTATTCCATATCAATAATTGTATAATTTATTAATTCATAGAAACTAATTTCATCTTTACAAAAAACGTTCTAGCATTGCTTTTATCATATCGTCCATTTAAGCGTGGTATGATATGGCACGATTCCCTATTTGAGTTGCTTATTCATATTATTTTTCAGCTATTTCAAGTAAATAATTATCATATGGTAATTCCATTACTTCTTTCCAAACTGTGTAATGCAATTCTAAGAATTAGAATAAGGATTACATTCTAATTTACGTAAGAGAGCAATATATTATTCTTTAGCGTTGACATGAGTATTTTTGGATTCGGTAAAGAAGAGTTCCTTATCCAATAAATCAAAAGAAGATTCAAGTTAATCATTCATCATTTTAATCAGATATTCAGATATTACGCTTCGCATTAAGCTAACTAATTAGATAGATTCTTATTTCTTATTGGGATTCTATTTTTCTCTGAAAAGTTTATCAACACTCTTCATAAAAAAATCTACTTCTTAACTTTGCATTTATTTGAAAGAACCTATCATAATCTTAGATTCTAATAATTCTAAGGTTTTATAAATATCTTATTCATCATTTGATTCCAATACTAATTTTATTGATTAATTATATTACCTTCTTAAATCTTCTAATGTAGATAATTGAACTCTTCAAATCTTTTACTTATGTCTTCTGGTTATTAATGCTTGATCTTGGATAGTTCTTTAATATCACCTTCGATTAATTTTTCCTGAATTTAATTATAAATTTACTTTGTCTGCAATTATTCGTTTTATCTTTTCAATGACTTCTGGAAATGTTTCCCTCAAAAACTATTTTATTTCTTCTTTCTCATTTTTATTGCTTGTCTATTACTTCTTAAAGGATTTTATAAACTATATTATGACTTTTTGGATTACTTCTTAATAATGTTCTTTATAAATTGTAAGGCTTTCTTCTTCAAATTCAAGATTACCCTTTTATTTCATTTCTAACTTTTCTAATGCAGTATAGTATTCTAATTAGGATAGAAATTCTTTTATTCCATTCATTTTGTTATATACGTCCATCAAGTACTACTCCTATTTATGCACATATGCAAATGCATTTATTGATAGTAGTATAATTAATAACATAATTAATAATGAATAAAGAAGGTCCTGGTTTCTTGTATAAAGTATATTCTATTTTAGAGGTATTTCATTCAAAATATTCTAGCATTCAGATTACGATGATATTGTGAGTTGGAATGACAACGGTGACGGATTTCAAGTGAAAGACATTAATATTTTTTAGAATGACATTTTGCCCAATTACTTTAAGCATTCCAATTTTGCTTCATTTGTCAGACAGGTATAAGTTATATTTAAGAATATAAGTTAAATATGTATGATTTTCATAAGACAGAAAAGAATTCTTTTAAACATAAATTGTTCAGAAGAAATTAGAAGTAAAATATTATAAAGACAATAAAGAGAGTTGCTTCCCTAAATAAAAAGAAAAGTAAATGATTAAATTATCATACTGCCAAACATTGAATAAATTAATCAAGAATTGTCAATGTTAACGTTGAGAAATTAAGAATTGGAGTCTTTGTTTACCTATATCATTCAATAAAGTGATAAATTAAAAAAGGAGAATGCCTTTTTATGGTAAGAATTATGTAAGATAAAGTAATACTTATTCAGATTTACTTATCTAGATAAAAAAACGATCACTAATAAGAAAAACTGTTCGATTGGTTAACCAACAATATAAGTGCAGAGTCTTTGTTCAAAATTCTAGAAAAAAGTATTACCAAAAAAGATCTAATTAAATTGGTTTCTAGAGTCTTTGGATAAGATCAACAAAATAAAAAAATCAAAAAAGACTATTTCATTTGAATTATCTTATCATCATGACATATTTCAAAATACTTAGCATGATGTTATTCTTATGCTTGGTGGTGAAGCAGGCATATAAACTACAATTTTAACATTTTTTGTTTTATCTCCATTTTTTAACAAAGCTGAAATATAATAATTGCTTCCATTCACAATCTGTTATTCCACATTCAAAATTTTATCCCATGAATATCCAGAAGTACCAGCACAAGATGCTAATTATTATCTAAAAAATTAGAACTTTAAAAATTTTATTTTGCATATGCTATTGCCTATCCCAATCCTTAATCATTTTAATCTGGTTTGAATTTACCTCCTGCCATAGGTCTATGTTCTCTACAGAAGATGCTTGATAAAACTATTAATAATATCAATAATTTCATTAATAATAATAATAATTTATTTATTATTTGTTTTTATAGATGACTCTTTTTTTTAATAAATTTTCTTAATAACATAATGTATAATATAAGATGATTTTAATCAATAATATTTTTATTATTAAATATAAAAATTTTTATGTTCATGAAATTATTAATATATTGAGTTTAAAAATTTAATTTAAGAATTTTTTTAAGTTGATCTTCTTGTAAACTTTGCAGATTATTATTAAAATATAGTTATCAAAGTATTGAAGGAAGAAAATGTTAGAATTTTTTTATAGAACATTTTAATTAATACTAAATTTGTCCTTCATTTTTATATATTTTATGAAATAAACTAAAAATATCAATTAACTGTTCTTAATCTTGCTCAAAAAAAAAAATAATTTACATTTTTTAGAATTTAAATTCTTATTTTGAAGGATTATTTTAGAAATGAAAACCATTTTCTTTTATTTTAGTAGGCAGGATAAAAGTATTTCAATTTTATTTCACTCATACAACAGTGAAAAAGGAATAGTTATGTATGAAAGCTAGATTCTTATTATTTTTAAATGAAAATAAAACTAAATTTTATAAATTAAGTTTACTTTGAATTATTTTAGTTATGAATTATGATATACGTTTTATTATTAATTAATTCTAAATTAATTTCGAATAAGTAAATGATGTAATTTAAGGCTGTTATTGTATTTATCTTATTGTAAGATTTTAAGAATAAGTTAGTGTTTATTAGGGGATTAGTAATTGTGTTTTTGATATAATTACATAACCAGATACCGAACAAAGAATTATTGAATAAAACTTAAGTGGTTTAGGAACAAAAAGTTATGGCTGGGGAGTTTGGACAAAATATGAATCAGGATATGGAAGTGCTGAATAATTAAGTTAAACAATAACAAGTATGCATGTTTTAACAGAAAAATATGCAAAAAGAATTATATTATCATATTTTATTGTAATAGATAGAAAAAAATTGATATTTTATCATCGATTACTGATACAACATGGAGGAGTGTTGTAAATTAAAGAATTGAAAATTCATGTAGCTATTGCCGATAAAAAATGGGTTTTTTTCTATTTTTGTTTCAAAGAAGCATTGAAATCTTACAGTATGTTTCTTTATGTAGATAATGATGTTTTTCATGTAAGTATGTCAGCAGGTGGACCTTTTGACATAGATGACTTGATTAAATAATATCATTTGGGATAAATTATTGATGTAAATAAAATGCTAATAGTAGGTGATTAATCCGTTCAATGAATCAATAAATTATAATTTAAATGTATTTATAGGATTGATTAGCGATATGGATTTAAGAACAGGAGAGTCCAATTATTATCCAGATATCTAATCTTTTCTAGATAGTTTAGAATCAGTTGAGTGTATAAAGGAATTGAAATGTTCCAGTGTAAGTAAAATGATAAATTTTGATAATTCAATCTTTAATGATTAAAGTACTCGTATATTATCAAAATTGAGATACGAAAACTCTCGCTTTTTGATTAGTGGATGGGTGAGAGTTTCCCATGTTCCATTATATCAATAGAGAACTTCAGCTCTATTTAGAATGACTTTGAAGATTAAATATGAAGACGATCTATATTATGGAGATAGAGCATTATTTTGGTAATATTTGTAAAACTCAGATTAACCAGATTCATCAGGATTGATAGTGACTACTTATCATGAAAACGATCCTTTTATCCCTTATAAAACAAATCATAATGATATGATAAGTTATTTGAGTTCATATTATAGTAAGGCAATAACTGAATGGCATTGGTTTATTTATGAAGAAGGAAGGAATGGAGTTAATAATATTTAGAATACAATTTTTTGGGGAAATGGGGGTCACAATAAAAAAACAGATGTAAATTAATTAAAAAAAACTCATTTGATTGAAACAACTTTATTTATGACTCTAGGAGGAGATAAATTTTATAATTTTATTGGGTAAATCTAATAGATTGAGTTTCAATATTGCCATAACAACGATATTTAGTATTTTATAAGTATGAGAATTCTATTTCATAATAGAATGTCATTATAGTTGCTCAAGTTGTTTTGGCCCCTTAGAAATTCATTGTATAACCTGTCCAGATGAAGAAATTACAAATCGAGAGTACAATCCAGGTTAGAGTAGCTGTGGATGTAAAGGTTCTTATGTTGAAAATGAAGATACTCAATGCGTTAGTAATGAATTATAATATAACTTTTAGAAAGCCAAGAATATTTTTAAGATATTACTATTTTTGAAGGTGAAGATTCTAATTTAATTGCTTGTGGTTTAGGTTAATTTTATGTTTAATTTGGGTAAGTAACTTATTGTGCTAATTGTCCAGGTAATAGGGAACCAGATTTTATTAATAGAAGAAAATTATTTTGTGTTGATTGTCTCAATTAATAGTACACTTGGTATTCAAATCCAATCTGTACAGAAGATTATGAATAATTGATTTCAAGTATAACTAGTGCTTATTAAAAGAAAGCTAGAATACCAATAGATTATGAGTATTTTCTAATAAATTTCAATTCTTAAATAAACTAAATAGATATAGAGCTTTGTTAAGGTTGTTTAGGAGAGACAACTGCAAATTCTAATTATATTGTATAATTAAAATTGGATATAGAAATAAAAATTGAATGCAAAACATGTTATTAAATAATAGATGGAGAATGTATTAATGTAAATAACAATTGTAACTCTTGCAATTCAGATAAATGTATAGAATGTTAATAAGGTTACACACTCTATTAAAATTATTGTTACAAATGTCCAACTATTTGTCAAAATGATTGTTTATTTAATGGATCAAAATTTGGTTGTTTAAAATGTGACTTAGGTTATTACTTAGATACTGTAAATAATGAATGTTTATAATGTGGAGCTAATTGTCTAATTTGTCAACCAGGAATACCAATAGATGGAGATTTTGTTCAAATGTAATGTTTTAAATGTATTGATAACAAAGAGTTTTTCATTGATGCTGATCTTATTAATTGCAAACCTAAAAATATGCCTAATTGTATTTATTAGTATTAAGAATTCTCTCAACGCTCTTTATTTTAGAATGATACTCATTAATATAAATTTTAAACTAGTTTAGACCTTAATTTCTCTAAGCCTTCCACAAAATATTATAACAGATGTGCACTTTGTGAAAAAGGTTTTGTCTACAGGTTGCATGAATTCGAATAGGGTAAGGATAAATGCATATTATAATCTAAAATTACTGATTAAGATTTCCCTAACTTTAATTCTCTTCAGATTGCTCCTGAATCTGAAGATGATCATTTTTAAATAATGCTGTTTCATTAAATTTCATACGAAGGTTATCTTAAAAGAATTTTAATGATACTTGGAGATTATATGACTGCTACATTAAATGGATAAATTTAAAATTTACTGTCATCTGTAATATAGATAGAAAAGTTAAGAGAAGCTTAGATGTAACCTCATAATAGGAGAGAGATTTATTATCAGAATGTACTAAAAGTAATTGCAAACATTGTATCAAGAATTATATTTGGTTTAATGAATACTGTATGCTCTGTTATTAAGGATATTATGCTGAAATTTTCTCAGGTTAATGCTATTAGTGCGTAGCTAGTTTACATTGTAAAACATGTCAATAGCAACATAAAGTTTATAAGGATGGATGGAAATGGGAAATAAGAGCATATTATCGTGCAAGAACTTGTGCAAATTTTTGTCATACAAGTTTTAATTCAAAATGTGCCACAACAAATTTAGATGATTATGAAGTGTATTGTACATCATGTGAAGAAGGATATTAACTATATAATGAAAAATGCATTCCAAAATGCAATTGTTCTAAATGTATTATATAGGATGATCGATATATTTGTGTAGAATGTCCCTCATCTTTAATAAATACCAATTAACCTATTCAAATTTTAATCAATAATAAATGTACTGAATGTCCTGCTAATTGTGCTTTATGTAGAGAATTAAATGATAATGAAATTAAATTAATTAACCCTTACTTTAATCCATAATATAGTCAACTTGCTATTTATTCAAAATCTTGTATTAAGGGTTATGAACCTGATAAATTTTTGATGTAATATTAATACATATATCGTGACCCAATATTAAATACTTAGATTTTATGTCAGCAATACTAAAAATGCTATTAATACTTAGAATAAGAATATACAATTTATTGTAGTCAATATGAATATAATTATGATCTTGATTCTGCTATTAACTAAATTGCATTTCAATATAAGAATATGGCATTATCTCACTTATTTTCTGAAACTCATTTCTCTATTGAATCTGAAAAACTTTTTAATGAACTCAATAAGAAATCTATAAAATCAGCTAAATATATTCTGAATTTTAAATATTTTAATGATGACCCTTGTATTATTCCCCCTGATGCTGTAATCTTTTCAAATCTTAGAAGAAATGTCTTTACTCTTCAATAGTTAGAAATTGTTCTTATAGGAGATATATCAAAGAAAACTTTCATTCAGAGTACATTTTCTCTTAAAGATTTTACTAAAATAACAATCAAATATTTTTTAATTGTCAAATCAACAAAACTAAGTTCTATAAGTATTAATTAGGTTAATAGAGTCAGTGTATATCTTGAAAATCTCATCATTTAGGATTCAGATACATATAGATTTTAAATCTAAATCAATGATCCTTTAAATATTAAGATTAATAATTTTTAAATTATAAATTCCAAAATAGTTGATACTTAAGGGATTATTGCTTATACATTTAGTAAAAAAATAACTGATAGATTTGAATTTTTGGCAAATAATATACAACTTTTGAATTCTGAATTTTAAAACACCTAAATAATTGTTCAAATTTTATAAGATAATTGTAATAATTAAATTCATGAAATCACTTAAATAAAATCTATTAAAAATATATTTATTTCATCTTCATTATTTGAAACATATTTTCCATTATCATGGAGAGAGTCAAGTTTTATTATTAAAGGTTTTTATGCTGATAAAGATACTTTAAAAAAAATCTGGTTATGCAATTTTATAAGGTGCTCTAAATGTACTAATTTAAGATTTGACTATTCAAAATAGTGTATTTAATTAAGATACAAGACTATTTTAATTATCAATATTTGTCATTCAAAATTTCTTATTTGAAAACAATAGTCTATTAAGTAGTGATAATAGGGTTATAACCAATAAAATTAACATAGTGTATACTGATTTGGATTCTATTACTTCAAACATTTTAACATTAAATAATATAACATTCTAAAATAATACTTATAAGAGTAGTAAAGGTTTCATGGAAATAATTCAAAGTAATAACTTTCGATTTTTAGAAATAAAAATTACTAATCTTACATTAATTAAAAATGATATGATATTAGAAATGGCATCAGTAATAAATGCAATTACTTTTGAAAATTCAACAATTTATTTGGATATAACATCATTATAATTGACAAATGTATTCGTCTAAAGAAATATAAATTTGCCTGAATTTACTATAAAGAATGCTAAAAATGTTATTAATTAAATTACAGGATAGTTGATTAAATAATTTAATATTCTTCATCCTTCAAAATCATGTCTTTTTTCTGTAGATGAAATCAAATAAACTACTATGTTTTTCTTTTTTATTTTGAATTTAAAAATGTCAAATGTTATTATATAAAATCTGACTTCTATTAATTTACCTTTAATTTCAATAAAATCTATTGAAAAATAAAATAAAAGATAAAAAGAAAATATTACACTTTAAAATTGTAAATTTTTTGGAAATATCCTAATGATAACAAAGTTTTCAGAATAATTAGGAGTCTTAGTCATAATATCTGAATAAGAATAAACAATAGTTTTTTAAAAACTATTGTTCGAAGGCAATATTTAACATAGTTAGATTGATGATATAGCCTTTATTTCATCAACAATTTTATAAATCACTCCATACTCAACTATTGAGATGAAAGATTCAATATTTAAAAAAAATATTGTTACTAATGGACAAAATTCTAATCTTATTTTAATAGGTAAATCAGTTTCTTTAAGGGATACATAGTTTATAGATCAAAATAATATAGATTTCCAATCTTTTTCACAATATTTAAATTGGGGATTCTCATAAAATGATTAAGTGTATTTGGAAGATTTGTTAGAGTCATTTCCAATTTAATATAAAGGTGGAGCAGGTTATATACAAGGTTCAGAGATCATAATGGATAATTTATTTGTTTATAATACTCAAGCATTATTTGGAGGTGCTTTTTATATGGTACCTTAATCTTTTGGGTAATTGAAATTGATGAATTCTTTATTTTCAAATTGTAAAACTATAACGACGAATTCAGAGAGATCTCAAGGAGGCACTTTGTATATTGATTCATCTTAATCTTTATTAAATCTATTTATAAAGAATACAACAGTAAATAATTCATATAGTCGAAATGAAGGAGGATGCATTTATATAGAACCTTCTAGAGTGAATAATTCAATTTAATTTTCAGATTTTAGTATTGAGAATATATATTCCTTATTGAATCCATTTTTAAGAATACAAGTTAGCTTTACAAGTTCTTCTTTATTGCTTATTATTCAATTTTATAATGTCCAAATTGTTAATACTTACAGTGGCTATTTAAGGTATTTAGAAGAAATAATAGATATGAAACAGACTGAAATATTGAATCAAAAAAATAACTATTTAATCTCAATAGATTAAGGAAATGTTACGATGGAAAATTGTTTATTTAAAAATATCTTCAATTATGGATTTTTGAATTGTTAAGGTTGTCAATTGGTAAAATTCAAAAACGGAGATATTAAAAATTTTACTATTTTATCAGAAGTCATTATTAACATAACATTAAATAAAAGTATTTATTTAAATAATATTTTTAGAATTTTATAGCAAAATTATATTAATCAAGGTATCTGTGAATAATATTATAGAATTTGATGGGTCTGTGAATGTTCCTTAAGAAAATATAGAGATTCTTGTAAATACATTGTATAAATGCATTTAAAATTTCGTGATACCAAAGACTATAAATGTTTTTTATACTAATTAGAAAAAATAAATAATTTCACATAATAATTTTTATAGAAGAATTAATGGAAGATAATAGTTGATTAAAATTTTGAAGATAGATCAAGTTTCTGTGTTACATTATCCATTTTTCTAAACTTTCACTATGGAGTAAAATTATTGTTCAACATGTGAAAGTAGCATATTTTAAATTACAAATATTCAAAAAACAGACTAAAATAATTTGATTTATATCACATATTCAACATTCAATAATAATACTTGTGGTAAAATTGGTTGTGTTGTCGTTTCATCTTAGGATATAAAATCTATTCAAATATAAAATTCTAATCGAATTTTAGAATCTGATTAGAATATTAGTAATATCAATGCAAAAGTGAAAATTTTAAACAGTGGTTTCATGGAAAATACTGCAACATATGGAGGAGATTTATTAATTTCTTAAGTCAATACTCTTATCAATAATTGTATATTTAACTAAAATACAGCTATATAGTCTGGAGGAGCGATTTACTATTAGTAATATGAAGATTCCAACTTACATTTATATAACTCAATTATCACATACAATAATATCAATATTGGAGGAGGATTATACTTACGAAATTATCAAGTGAATGATCCATAGACTTTGAATAATTATTTAAGAAATAACAAAGCTAAGAGTTATGGAAATAATACGGCTAATAATCCATCCTAATTGACTATTCAGATAGGGAAATAATTACTTTAAAAAACAGAATAATTAACAATAATGAATAAATTGTAGATTAAGTTGTTATAAGTAATTATACAATAGGTTCAAATATTTATAAATATATAATGGTTCCTAGTGGACAAATTGTGTCTCTCTATAACTTTTTTGATGAAAATACTTAAAGTTTTATTAGCTACAATTTTAGTTTAAGGATCATCCCTTTAAACTAACAAGATGATAGAATCAAAAACTTAAATGGATCCGAATGTACTATTAGAAGTCGTCAAATCTTAGATTGATAATAAGGAGATTATAATTCAAGCCATATAAATTTGAAGACTGTCATTTTTAGCGAAACATCATAAGATTATAATTTAGATTTCCTTATTGTGTATTTCAATTCAAATTTAAACTCTATGGGATATTTTCAACTGGAAATTTAATGTAATTCAGTATCAATTGGTTTGTATTCATAAGATCCTCCCTATTAATTGACTTCTTTTTAAACTAATTATTCCCTATTATTAGACTTATAAACATTCCCATGTTAAAGAGAAGAATATAAAAAGCCAGATGGCACTTGTATATTGTGTGATTCTCGATTTGATATTTAATTAATCACTTAAAAATATCTAAAATAGAAAATAATAAATCTCTCTTCTACTATATAATATTAGATCATGATTTAGATTATGCTTTTTTAATTTGGAGTAGTAATGTATAAGATCTAAGTGCATCATGGGGAATTGCAGACTTTAAATTATATATTTCATGAATTTGTAATTTAGTAGTATATTTCATTAATAATTTCATTTTTTGCTTATTGAATATAAATTAGATTTAATATGGGCTGAAGAACTAGACCCTCTTTTTATTTCCATTGGTCTCCAAGATGCCTATTGATGGAGTGAACTCTACTGATGTAGCGAACTCTATCCTTTCTTTTGAAAATTCAAAGTTGATAGTATATTTAAAATCTAATATAAATTGATATTGTTTTATATTTACTTTATTTTTATCGAATGCAGGTCTATCTGATAAAATTGATATATATGTTGGTGATTTATCCTAATTTCTATTTTATGGTTTATCTTTGATTAAATTCTAAAAAGACTTCCGAAGTAATGAAAGTGGCATAACATTTTATGGAGTTAAAGATTATTTTTTAGTAAATTTCATTTATTTTTCAATATCTTATAAATTTAATTTTAAATTCTTTTTTTTATTAATTATTTTATTATTATTATTATTATTATTATTATTAATTGAATTAATATTTTAATTATTATTACTTTACCTTCTTAATTATAATAATTTTAAGTCAATAATATGATCACTTTAAACTCTTAATTTTGGTTTGAATTAAAATACATCTTTTAATTAATCATTAACAAAATTAAAAAAATCAAAGAGATCATCACAACTATTTAATTCTCCATCATCATTTTATTAATTTAAATGGCTAACATCCATTTGTAAAAACTCCTAATGAATATTAGTGTCTTTTAAATTAAAAGATATAGGCATTTTTTTAATAGATTGAGTCCTAATAGCTGACCAATCAATAGTAGTAAACCAAGGATTTTTTTTTAAAGTATGAAAATCATGAATTCTCTTATTATAATCTTTCTCCAACAAATTTTAAAGTAGAGATAAAACATCAGAATTCAATTCATCTGAAAATGTTATTTCTTCATTTTGGATTTTATAGAAGATCTCTTCTGTATTTTAAGAGTAATGAGGAGGTAAACCAAGTAATAATTCATAAAGTAAGCAACCCAAAGTATAGAAATCAGCTGGATAAGAATATCCTTATCTATTAACTACTTCAGGTGGCATATATTCAGGAGATCCACAAAAACTATTTGCAAGTTGATCATCTTTTAAATCAAGTTTAGATAGTCCAAAATCAGTGAGTTTTATATGACCTTTAATATCAATTAAGATATTTTCAGGCTAATTTAATAATGAGATATGTGTACTTTAAGATCTCTATATAAGATATTATGTTGATGTAAATCTTCTAATGCACAAATAACTTCACTAATATATAATCTTGCTTCTTCATCTGTAAAATGATAATGTTGAAGATGATAAAACATTTCACCTCCAGGTAAATATTCCATTAGAAAACATAAATGATCTTTGATTGCAAAGGTTGCATACAATGGGATTACAAATTTAGATTAATTCATAACTTATGATAAGATTTTCTTTTCTCTTAATACTTACTCTAAACGTCTGCAATCGGTTATGTATTATTTCTTTATCATTTTAAGTGCAAACAATCTACCAGATATGTAATGTCTAACCAAATAAACTTCAGAAGTTCCTCCTTTTCCAATACAATTTTCAAATTTGAAATCTCTTAATGTCAATGTTGATTTAGTTTATGGTTTTCCATAGACTGCAATTAAATTTTCTTATTTAATCTTATCAATAGATAGTTAGGCTCATTTATCATTGGAATGCTTACCTCTTTCATTGGGGATTGACAATAGGTAATCTATGGTGATAGAGTGAGATGCCGTTCTTAATGCCACAATCTATTAAGCATTAGGTATTTCTGGATGTTAATGAAGCTATTAAATAAATATAATATATTCACTTTGTTCATTAATTCAGCTATATTTCTATCAATAGAAATCTCAATGCTCACTTATTTATGTTAACAAGTAACAACAACAATGATATTTTTTTAAGATAGATTTCGTTTATGATCTAACATATTTGAACAATCAAAATATAATTAATAGTATTTTTTTAATTGAAATTCAAATTAATGATAAACTAATTAACAATATTCACAAATCAATTTTCACAAAATCAGGTAATGATTCTCCTAAATTTTTGAATTTAAGATCTCCACTAATCAATTTTTCTAAAGTTCTCTCTATAATAATTATAATTTAATCAATTTACATATTGCTTCAAATGTCATTTCACCATCATGAATAGCAAATCTCTTTCTTTTACTTGGATTCAATAAAACTATTTTTGGTTCACCTTAAAATTCTAATGCTTAACCCCACTATAATAATTATAACTTAATAGAATTACTTTTGATTCTGTTTTAACATCTAACCACATAAATTTGAAAACTGTTCCTCTATTAATATGTCTCTCATATTATTAATTCAATTTCTTTAATTCATCTACTAATTCATTATTACTATAAAATATATTAATATAAATTACGGTTTATCTCCATTATTCATTAAAATTACACAAATAACACCTTCAACTTTTAAACAGATATCATTTGCAGATCTTTAATGTAATTATGGAACAACTTGCATCATCCATTCTTTTGTTGCAGCACTATCAGCAGATGATCCTCCTCCTGGTACAAATACTTCACTGTGAACATTCAAAAAATCAAACATAGGTTTAAATTTATATTCTCCTTTATATGCATATGGTTTTTTTTCATTAGCTTTTATAAGTAATAATTAAGGGAAAGCTTTGATATTGTATCTATCTAATAATGCCTTTTCTGATGATCTCACTATACCAAATGATAATTTTTTCTATTTAACATTATATATATTTACATACCTCAAATTCTACACTCAATCCTTTATAAACTAGTGGGAATCCTTTCTTTTCACTAAATAATACTACTTTAGGAACTGTAGGATTTTCATTAATAAATGTATTGATGTTAGTTTCAGTAATCTCAATAACATTATTATGGATATATTTTGTAGCCAATTTCAAGATTCCATCTATTTCAAGAGGGCCTTCATAATCAACTGCAGGAACAGGATATGGAGGATATACTCTAAATGTTGGAAATTTTGAGACACTCTCTTTCTAACAAATCTTTTCAGCTTCATCACAATCACAAGATGCTATTCTGAAAATTCCTTTATATTCATTTGTAAATTCATCATATTTTGATGCAAATGATCTACTTTCACCATCTACCAATAAAATTCGCATATTTACCTGAATATTTATAGAAATGAACTATAGTGACATATTTAGTTGTTTGTCTTATCTTATTAATTTATTTTTCAAAATTTATTTCATTAACAGGTGTAACATATGACTTTTTTACATCATACAACTATTTTGCTAATGTGAAGGAGAATAAGATGACAACAAATATGCTTGTCTTCATTAATTTTTTTATTTTATTAATTCCACGTAAGAATATAATTTTTAATCTCAAAAGAACATTCTATCAGAAAATTTGTATAATAAATACTAAATATTATATTTATAATTTTACACTATCAGTAATTCTATATAACTGTATTTATAATGATATTCAATAATTGATTATCCTTCTAATTAATCTAATCAAAATTAAACTATATGTAAACATATCTAATTGTATTTATAATAAATATTTTAGTTATTTAATTCCATTTAACAATATAGATTATTATATTGGATTAAGAGATAAGATAAATCGATATGTGAATGCAATAATTTTTATTAAGAAAATGAAATTAAATGAAATTAGAATGTCAAATACATACTGATAATCTTGTATTATTTGAATTAGATCAATTCCAGTTAATTCAATTTATTGTTATTAATAAAATGAATAAATCATTGCTTCAGTCACCAATCAAACAATAACATCGAAAGATTGTTTCTTAACAGTAAAGCAGCAGACCATTAAGATTCTTTGATAAATTTTCATTGTTCACCAAACATAGAATACCATTGATTGAGGAGACTCCATAAAGAAGTGAACGATAATCAAGAAGATTGAAAAAGTACTTTTCAGCAACGATGAGAAATTCTAGCTGTAATTGTATCAATTGTGGAAAGAACAATTCATTTATACAAAAGACTTTTCAATTATTTCCCTTTGAAAGCAAGTAAATTGAATTAATTTTATATACAAAATAGCTTTAATAGAAGAAAGAGACTATAAAAAAAGTTCAGAAAATATGTTCATTGTGTTCAATTCATTATTAGATATAAGATTGTCTAAAAAATAAGAGATAGATAAAGAAATAAAATGAAGAAAGCAATCAATTAGAATGTTCATATACATAAACCTTCTGCTATTGCCAATGTACTTGCTGAAGGAATTAAGTAATTTTTATTAGTTGGAGTAAAGGTAATTGAAACAATAACACCATGTTGAAGTTTTGAATGAACATGATTCAGATGAAGAGTTTTATCATTTTAAACCCAAGATACTTTTGAATCGTAAGTCTTTTGCACATTTCTTATCTTCTCCAAAGGGATAAAAAAAGTTGGAAAGAGTCTACTATGTGAAATAAGCTAATAGACCTATTAGTTAATATATTGCAAATCGTTCAAAGCCATCTAGTACCCAATGTTCTCCAAAATCTATCTTGCCTTAATTGAGTTCATTGTATGATTTTAAAAACTCAATCTCGGTTAGACATATGAAAAAATTCTGATTACAATAATTATTTTTTTAATAATACCCCTAAAATAGTTTCTATAATATTTAAATATTAAAAATAATACATGAAAACATATATTGATTAATCTTAACGTAGAACTTTAGATAATAATTTTGATTTAAAATCATTCCGTTCTCAAATTAAAGACAGATGGAATTTGAGTTTAACTAGTGATTTAAATTAATCAACTTTTAATTCTGTAAAGTAAGAATTATATAATATGAAAGAAAAGAGAATCGTTAAGGTGTACCATCATTTGACAATTTATAAGCAAGAATTAGAGATTTGTCTTAATCGCGTTTGACAACTTCAAATTATAATTCTAACGATAATTTTACTCCCTAAAAGAATCTATATTCTCCTCATAAAGCATATGGGATGAGATAAATGTAATTAGTATTAAGCAAATATATTAAGAATTTAAAACAATTTAGGTTAAAATGTAGTGATCAATACAAATGAAAAACAATCTCAAAATTCGAAATCTCAATCATCACAAAAAAAGATATTATTATAAAAACCAAATGATACTCTATAAATGACATTAAAAGGATCATTGAAAAAATAAGGAAGACTTTTGTCTGATGCAGTATAAATTAATGAAATTGTAGCATTGCGAAATAAGATTGAATCATCATTAGTTAATAGATCATCATTAACTTCGACGTATAAAATAATATTAAATATATATAGTTATATAAGTGAGTTAGTGAAATTGGCTTAAGCTATCACTACATCTCTAAAATAAGAATGAGTAATATAAATTGCATATGGATTCTTTTCATATGAAAATAATATATTTATATCTATAACAATATAGGGAATATTAAATCTTGTCATATCTCGTATTCTTCCCAAGAGTTTTCTTCTTCAAGAATTTCTTCAACTGGTCTTGGATCCTCATAAAACAATTCTTCCCATGTCATTGCATATCTATATTTATCTATAACAAAAATGAATCTATTTCTTATACCTTTCAATGCATCTTGTAATAATTTCTTTCTGCTTCTCTCCAATGTTGGTTTGNTGAATGAACATGATTCAGATGAAGAGTTTTATCATTTTAAACCCAAGATACTTTTGAATCGTAAGTCTTTTGCACATTTCTTATCTTCTCCAAAGGGATAAAAAAAGTTGGAAAGAGTCTACTATGTGAAATAAGCTAATAGACCTATTAGTTAATATATTGCAAATCGTTCAAAGCCATCTAGTACCCAATGTTCTCCAAAATCTATCTTGCCTTAATTGAGTTCATTGTATGATTTTAAAAACTCAATCTCGGTTAGACATATGAAAAAATTCTGATTACAATAATTATTTTTTTAATAATACCCCTAAAATAGTTTCTATAATATTTAAATATTAAAAATAATACATGAAAACATATATTGATTAATCTTAACGTAGAACTTTAGATAATAATTTTGATTTAAAATCATTCCGTTCTCAAATTAAAGACAGATGGAATTTGAGTTTAACTAGTGATTTAAATTAATCAACTTTTAATTCTGTAAAGTAAGAATTATATAATATGAAAGAAAAGAGAATCGTTAAGGTGTACCATCATTTGACAATTTATAAGCAAGAATTAGAGATTTGTCTTAATCGCGTTTGACAACTTCAAATTATAATTCTAACGATAATTTTACTCCCTAAAAGAATCTATATTCTCCTCATAAAGCATATGGGATGAGATAAATGTAATTAGTATTAAGCAAATATATTAAGAATTTAAAACAATTTAGGTTAAAATGTAGTGATCAATACAAATGAAAAACAATCTCAAAATTCGAAATCTCAATCATCACAAAAAAAGATATTATTATAAAAACCAAATGATACTCTATAAATGACATTAAAAGGATCATTGAAAAAATAAGGAAGACTTTTGTCTGATGCAGTATAAATTAATGAAATTGTAGCATTGCGAAATAAGATTGAATCATCATTAGTTAATAGATCATCATTAACTTCGACGTATAAAATAATATTAAATATATATAGTTATATAAGTGAGTTAGTGAAATTGGCTTAAGCTATCACTACATCTCTAAAATAAGAATGAGTAATATAAATTGCATATGGATTCTTTTCATATGAAAATAATATATTTATATCTATAACAATATAGGGAATATTAAATCTTGTCATATCTCGTATTCTTCCCAAGAGTTTTCTTCTTCAAGAATTTCTTCAACTGGTCTTGGATCCTCATAAAACAATTCTTCCCATGTCATTGCATATCTATATTTATCTATAACAAAAATGAATCTATTTCTTATACCTTTCAATGCATCTTGTAATAATTTCTTTCTGCTTCTCTCCAATGTTGGTTTGTACCAAACTCCATATCCCCAATTTCTATATAGCATTTATATCACAATTAAACCTCTTATTGACTTCTGCTTATGCTACAAGTTCAGCCTCTGTAAATTATCTTTATTTATAATAAGCCCATTTTCCAAAGAAATAATATCTGCCTCCATAGAATGCTGTAAATGCAAATGCTCCCAAAACAACAAACTTTATTATATTTTAACAAAAATACAGGTCTGATTCTTCTTAACCACCATGCATTGGTTTCCCAGACAAAGTTTGTCCACTAATAAACCATTTTTATATTAATAATAATATATTATCATCTGTGTCCTTTAGGTGGTAATTATTATGCTGATCTTATTGGTCTCATTGAATTAGATTATTATGATTAATTATCTAACTATTTCATTGATTTTTGAATTTGCTTATTCAATCTCAAATTTAATTCTTAATCTTCTTAACTATCCTCGGCTTCTTCATCATATAAATTGTGTTATTCATAAAATTCTCTATCTTCCTTACTAATTTTCTTATTCTATTTCTTCTCTTCAAATAATATTTCCCCTATATCCTATTCTTCTAATGTGTAATGCTACAATAATTATTGTTCATCAAATTATCTCATTGTATTTGAGTATTTTTTAGCTGATTATGGTAATTTTGGTAATACTTATTGAGTATTTGAACCATATTAAGGAGCTGCTGATTAAATATCTCTTTTTTTGGCATCAATTTTAGGTTTAACTGCTTTATATTTAGTAGTTTCCTTATATTTATTGAAATCTATCATTTGATTTAATTCATGTTTTGTACATTTTGGAGAGTAAGCTTCTATTTCTTTTACTTACTCTTCAAATGTATTATGCATATTAACATACTAAGGATCAAATATTTCCATCCATTCAGGAGGAAAGGGATTGCAATTATAATAATTGTCATCTGGAAAGTATACATTATTATATTTATATAGATTCAATTTACCAGTATTATATTAACCATCACAAAACTAATTTTATAAACAATAAGTACCAATCCAACTTATAAATTCAATATGCAATAATGACCATTTGCAAAAAATAGTAAAACTTAAGCTCTATGTCTTTGACCTCCCATTTATGAATTTTTAAAGTGATGTATAGTTTTAGTAGATCCTTCTGCAACATAATTAACCCATTCTGAACCTTAACATAATCTCATTTTAATTTCTGTTTCTGATAAGAACTTTTCTATATCTGTAGTTTCACTAAAAAAGTAATGTACTCTTATAACATTCAATTTTAAATTTTCATCATTAATTTATGCAAATTAATCATCTACTTATCCTTCTGGTGCATCAATAGAATCTGATCTTTCAATACCACTAAATCTAAGTTATTTTTATTATGATTATGATGTTTATTATTTATTTGATTTTAAAGTTTAATAATTATCATCTTTAATGATATGTGTTTTAAATGATGATTTTGATTGATGTAAACGATATTATAATACAATATTTTTTAGATCTCCAACAGGATTACCATTTAAATCTATTAATCTCTTACCTTATAAATCAACCATTTCTAAATAAAAGAGTAATCTCCATTAATATAATTATTCATTCAATAAAGCTGGTCTATGTTTTGGTTTACTATCCATAGGAACTCTTATGATAGCATCTCCTAATGGAATGTTTTAAGCTATGGCAAATTTCTATTCAATTTCAACTAATTCATGTTCTCCAACAATTAACATATAACATACATCACATACTCTACAAGGTCTGGTAGATAAATGAGATACTTTTATATTTGTCAATTATTTATTTCGCTTTTTTAAATGTTAAACTAATTCCCATAATAATTTATAAGTAAGAGTTTTACTAGCATCATCTTTCTTAAATATGATGCCACACAATTTACAATAAACTGAACAAGTCAATTAATCAAGTGTTTTCTTTCCTTATCCTACTCCTTGAATTTCACTCATAGAAATAGCATTTTCCATTATTAATTATTTACAATTAAATAACCAGATTCTACCCTCTGGATCTTATAGGAAATCAAAAACACCTGTTTTAATTCTAACAGGATAATTCTTCTCTAAATAAGAGACAATCTAATCACAAACTTTCTCATATTCATATAATCCAACTCCCTTTATTTATTAAATAGTAAATGAATTTTATTGTTCTGTATTAATTGTAGTTTTATTGGTTATTGATTTTTTGGGATTTGGATCATATAATTCCATTACATTCATTATTCGATAACCATAATTAGCATGAGATGATTTTGAATTCTTAGTATAGAAAACAAGTCGAACTATTGTAGCTTTCATTACTCTTGATATAACAAATCGCTATTCTAATTTATTGTTATCTAATTAAACTTTTCTCTCTTTTTATTATCTGAATGTATATACAGCTTTAGACATATTCCAATCCTATCCAGTTTGACCTCTACTTATTATATATGGATTATCCTAATTCTCAAATACATTAGTTTTCTTTTCAAATCTATCGTCTTTAACATGACGTTTCAAATATTCTTCATGATATTAATGAACCTAATTTAATTGACTAATACTTTATTCTCAAAATCCTAATATCCTATATCTGTTTTTCTCATTAATTATCCTGTAATTGGATCTGTATACATTAAAATGTATGTTTATTCAAAACACATAATACATTCAGGTATGTTGACTCTTATTTATTCTGTTGGTAATTTTCCTAAAGCTAAAGCCTTATAGAAAAATATTCCTATAAAAGGTTAATGAATTCAAATTAACCTGGTTTGATTGGCCATTTTTGATAATAATCATCATTAGGAGGATTGAATAGAATTTTATTCAAAATCTATTACCAATGTCTCTCTTTTTTCTCAGCTTCAGTTTCTATTTTTGGAGGACTTAATTATACTGGTTTCTTTTGGGTGATTTAAGCCTCTGTTAATAAAAATGTATCAGCCATTTTATATTATAATTTAAATATTTTATCTCTATATTTTTTTATATAAATTTTATAATAAATTATCATTCATTCTAAACTCTAAATTATCTTTCATATTATGATATTATTCTTGTATATTTTTATACTTTTTTCCTTGTCTAATCATTCTTTATAGAATTAATTCTCTAATTTTGAATATGTAATTTGAGACATGGTCAACTCTTACTTACATAAATGTATGCTTGTTCATAATGTAATTAAAGTTCAAATTTAATTATATCAGTATTCTTGTTATTAACTAAATAGGGAACTTTGGTAAATTTATTATATCAAACAATAATAATGATTTCATAGTAACACATTCTATTGAGTGATATTAGTCAATTAGGATTGCTAGTTTACGTTAATTAGGGTATGTATTTTGATATGAAAGTAGCCAACTCATTTTTAATGCTATGTCTTCAAAGTATTCTTTATTCAAGTGGAATAATCATCTCGCTTTTATGTTATTTTTTAAAAAAGGATACATGGAGTAAAAAATTAGAAGTCATAGGCATAATATTGAAGATCATCTCATTATGGATTGCATAATAAGAAAGTTAAGAATTTATGTTTTGCACATTAATTTAAAGCTAATTGTTTTTTAAATCTATTGACTTAATAAAAGAACGATAATAGTCAATAATGATTGTGTTTTAAATGGCATTCAATATATTTCAAATTAGGGGAATCATAAATGACATTACTATAACATCTATAAATTTAGTCCATGTTATTATTTTTATTGTATGGTTATACAGGGTGTAAAAACAAAATATAATAATAGATTAGAAAGTTAAATTATAAGAAGGAAATGTTATTATAGAAATTGATGAATGTAGAGATTATTTAAAATAACAATAGAAATTTATTTAAACTTCTTCAACGAAAAGAATGATTCTGCCTCAAAATTCTTTAATATTCAATTAAGATTTTGAATTAATAGATTGTTAAATAGAATTTGAAGAATTAATGAATCATAAAAGCTATTGTGATTAGGCAATTTAAATTATGTTAAGTTTAAGATTAAATTATATTTTCGAGAATCAATCTAAGTCTTGTGAATTAAAATAATTAATGGAATAATTATCATTAGATTAAAGGATCTTAGGAATAATTGATAAAAATGATTATATAAAATATGAAAATCATCTTGTCCTACTTAGTTGTTAATTATATGAAGATATTAAATGTTATTAAATTCAATTAGAATAGGTGCCATTTAAACATAAGTAAATATAAATGGAAGAATCTATGGAAGTAGATATGTGTAGATCATTGTCTCATGAATTGGGAACTAATTTAAATAGTATAATAACATTTACAACTATGGCTTTGGATGATAATAAAGTAGATAAATATACAAAAATGAAATTTTTAGATCCTATATGGATTAATTGTGAGTAATTAAGTTTAATAGTTGGTTCTATAAGAGATTTTAATTTAATAAATTTATAATAATTTTCATTAAAATTAGAAGAATTGGATGTTGAATAAGAAATTAAATTTATGGTATCTTTATTTTCAGAAAGCATTGATAGTAAATAAATAAAAGTAGATTATAAATTTGATTTATAATGTTATTCATTAGTGGCTGATAAAACAAGATTTCGATAAGTTTTATTTTAATTATTATAAAATGCTATTAAATATACATTTGAATCATCTATTACTATTGCAATAATTAATGATAATATAGAGTGTAAAGTATTAATAACAGATGATGGTGTTGGAATGGTAATTATTTAATAAATTTATTAGAGTGAAGATGAAGC